ACAGCAACACACAGGAGTCTGTACCTGAACACAAAACACCACCGTCTGTCTCGTGCCCACAGCCAGACTGACCGATGACGGGCCCCGAACCTTCTCCAAACTGAGCATCTCCTGATACTGACAATGCAGACCCACAGCCCAACTCTTTGCACATGTTATCAGCCGTGTGGATGTTCCAGGCAGCTCCACACACCGTGTGCCATTGACCATCAGAGAACAGCTCCACTCTCCCCGCACACCGACTGCCTCCATTCACCAGTCTCAGCTCCACACTCTCTGTAACATAACAAATAACAGTACGATGTGGCAGTGTTTTGAGCCTCCACTCTCCCCACTCACTGTCTGTAACAAAGGCTACAGACAGGTATTGACAGACAATGGCTGTCATCTCCAGGGGAGAGGGCGGTGTCTCGGAGCACGTAACAGTGATGAAGCCTGATGCTGCGCTGAGGGGAGTGGCTGGCATGGTGAGAGAGGAAGGTCTTCAGGGGTGATCTGAAGATGGCCAAGGAGGGGGCAAGGTGGGGGGTACTTGAGGGAGAGAGTTCTAGATTCTCATTGTGTAGTGGTTGAAAGAACGGCTGCCTATGGTGGAGTGTGATAGGGAAGGGGGAAGGCGTACTGGGGGCCAGAGCTGGGTAAGGGAAGGTCGTGGTTAGAGGAGTGTGGGCAAGCAGTTCAGAGAGGTAGGGAGGAGCCAGGATATGAAGTGCATTGTAATGTAAGTGTGAGTCAGATTCATCTGTTATCGCACTGGGAGCCCAATGGAGCCTGGCGAGGACAGTGGTGATCAGGAGGGAGTTTAGTGTGTGTGATAGGGAGTAAGTGGAGCCTGATGAGCACTGGTGTGATGGCGGTATGGAGCTTAGTGTCTCTGATAGGGAGACAGTGGAGCCTGTCAAGGTTGGAGGTGATTGTGGAGGGAGATTCATGTGTGTGATAGGGAGCCAGTGAAGCCTGGTGAGACTGGGGTGATGAGGGAACAGAGTTTAGTGGTGAGTTATAGGGGGGTCAGTGGAGACTGGCGAGGACTGGGGTGATGGTGGTATAGTGTTCAATGTAGGTGAGGATATAAATGGTGGAGTTTGGAAATCAATTGGATTTGACTGCCATCTTGAATCTGGTATCCCCGCTTGTAATTGTGAATTCTAAACCTCTAGGAAAATGTTTACACATTTTTGGGATTCAATATTCTATGTCTAGGAATGATCTTCTCAGCAGAATGAAATTCAGCTCCTCCCACCCCACAGATTAGATGTTACCAGTCGTACCTTCCGTCCTATGCTCTGTGGTTCTGGCTGCAGTCAGGAGAGACCGCTGTGTGACACCTTGTGGCCCTCAGTGTGTTTAACACTGAACCGGAACATCACATCAAACTCTTACCTGCACCACATTAACCCGGAGATGTTCTGACACATCACTAATATTAATCTATTGTTCTATAGCAATCGTTTTACAATTACATTTGTCACAGCCACATTCTGTCACCGAGAGATCTCAACGGCTTCACGGGAGTTACTGTAAAGTGGAGAGACTGTGTGTTTTGCAGGTGAACACAGCAGTTGGTTTGCACACACCGATGTGCTGTGACCTACATACAGCAACACACAGGAGTCTGTACCTGAACATAAAACACCAGCGTCTGTCTCGTGCCCACAGCCAGACTGACCGATGACGGGCCCCGAACCTTCTCCAAACTGAGCATCTCCTGATACTGACAATGCAGACCCACAGCCCAACTCTTTGCACATGTTATCAGCCGTGTGGATGTTCCAGGCAGCTCCGCACACCGTGTACCATTGACCATCAGAGAACAGCTCCACTCTCCCCGCACACCGACTGCCTCCATTCACCAGTCTCAGCTCCACACTCTCTGTAACATAACAAATAACAGTACGATGTGGCAGTGTTTGAGCCTCCACTCTCCCCACTCACTGTCTGTAACAAAGGCTACAGACAGGTATTGACAGACAATGGCTGTCATCTCCAGGGGAGAGGGCGGTGTCTCGGGGTGTGATGAAGTGATGAAGCCTGATGCTGCGCTGAGGAGAGAGGCTGGCATGGTGAGAGAGGAAGGTCTTCTGTTGTGATCTGAAGATGGCCAAGGAGGGGGCAAGGTGGGGGGTACTTGAGTGAGAGAGTCTAGACTCTCACTGGGTAGTGGTTGAAAGAACAGCTGCCTATGGTGGAGCGTGGTGGGAGTGGGGGACGGCATACTGGGGGCCAGAGCTGGTTAAGAGAAGGGGGTGTTTAGAGGATTGTGGAGCAAGATGATCGGGGAGGTAGGGAGGAACCAGGATATGAAGTGAGTTGTAATGTCAGTGTGAGTCAGGTTCAACCGTTGTGGAACTGGGAGCCAATGGAGCCTGTTAAGGACTAGTGTGATGGGGGCACTAAATTTAGTGTGTGTGATAGGGAGCCAGTGGAGTCTGGTGGGGTCTGGGGTGATGGGGGTTAGGGAGTTCAGTGTGTGTGACAGGGAGTCAGTGGAGACTGAAGAGCATTGGAGTGATCAAGGTATGGAATTTATTGTCTCTGATTGGGAGCCAATGAAGTCTGGCGAAGACGATGCTGATTGGGGAGGGAGAGTAGTGTGTGTGATAGGGAACCAGTGGTACCTGGTGAGGACTGGGATGAATGGGTACAGAGTTTAGTGTGTGTGACAGGGAGCCAGTGGAGCCTGGCGAGGCCTAGGGTGATGGGGTAGAGAGTTTAATGCGGGTAACGATATAAATGGTGGAATCAATTGGATTTAACTGTCATCTTGAATCTGGTAACCCACATGTAATTGTGAATTCTAACCTCCAGGACAACGTTACAATTTTTTTTGTTTTAATATTCTGTGTCCAGGAAAGATCTTCTGAGCAGAATGAAATTCAGCTCCTCCCACCCCACAAATTAGATGTTCTTGTTGTACCTTCCGCCCTACGCTCTATGGTCTCGGGCTGCAGTCAGGAGAGACCGCTGTGTGACAGCTTGTGGCCCTCGGTGTGTTTAATATTAAACCCAAATATCCCATTAAACTCTGACCTGCACTACATTAACCCGGAGATGCTCTAACACATCACTAATTTTAATCAATTGTTCTATAGCAATTGTTTTACTCTTACATTTGTCACAGCCACATTCATATCACCGAGAGGTCTCAACGGCTTCACAGGAGTTACTGTAAAGTGGAGAGACTGTGTGTTTTGCAGGTGAACACGGCAGCTGATTTGCACACAGCGAAGTTCGCACAGTGACCTACACCTGTAAGAGTAAAACAATTGCTATAGAACAATAGATTCAAATTAGTGCCTGAAAGGGCGGTCGAGGCCAAATCGATAACTACATTTGAAAACGCGGTGGACGAGTATTTGAGGAGGATGGGTCTGCAGGGTTATGCGGAAAGGGCTGGGGAGTGGGATTGACATTACATTTCTCTTTTCAAAGAGCCGCCACAGACTCGATGGGTCGAATGGCTTCTTTTTGGGCTGTACTATTCTATGATTCTATTCTATGATTCACACGGCAACACACAGGAGTCTGTACCTGAACACAAAACACCAGCGTCTGTCTCGTGCCCACAGCCAGACTGACCGATGACGGGCCCCGATCCTTCTCCAAACTGAGCATCTCCTGATGCTGACAACGCAGACCCACAGCCCAACTCTTTGCACATGTTATCAGCCGTGTGGTTGTTCCAGGCAGCTCCGCACACTGTGTGCCATTGACCATCAGAGAACAGCTCCACTCTCCCCGCACACCGACTGCTTCCGTTCACCAGTCCCGGCTTTTTATCTCCTGACATTTGTATAACACACACAATCAACACCCATCCTTGAATAAACAATGTCATTCACCCACCAAACAGCTCACCCAGTGTATTGGATTATGGAACGTCTTTCAATTGCTTGTCTCTGTGAGTCCTGATATTGATTCAAATAGCTTCAATTTACACCTATATTTATTCTTTTACTTCCAAAGTATCATCTCTTTCACCTCAATTACTATCCTTTTCCCTCCAAGTAATTATGATAATAATAATCATTATAACAATTGTAATGTTTGGTGTAGCTTGTACCAAATCAGGGAAACATCACAAAGTGCTTCACAGGATCTTAGTGCAAAGTAGAGTGACTGAATCTTGATGTGGCAGCCAGTTTGTACAGATCAATGTCCCACAAACAGCCAGAGAGTGAATGAGCCAGGATGACACCCAGTGACTGAGCCACAGGCTGACATCAAATTTTTAATCAGTTAGAAGGATTGATAAACAAAAGATCTTATATTATTATATAATGTCAAATGTCTGAAGGCTCAGGTACACATAAAAGATATGGTGCCACTGCTGGTGAATAGAAGGCAGTTTCCCTGGTGTGCTGACTGTTTGGGGGACATTGCTGTGAGCAACACGGCTGCAGCGGCTTTCAAACATTTAATGGCAAGTCTGCTGTGAAGTGAAAATCCTCTCATTGGCTTTATGAAGTCCCAAGAACCTCCCCTCCCAGAGAACGAGGAGAGACGTTTACCTGAGCAGATGACGCTGACATCACGGGAATGATCAGTGTTATACCATTCCCATCCTTCTGAGGGACAGTCCTGTAGAACAGACTCGGTGCCATTGCAATGAACATCATAAGTGATATCATGTCCTGTCCCTTTTCCAAAGAACGCGTTTTCTGGAGCTGCCACAGCGGCCCCACAGCCCAACTGTCGGCAAACAACCGCAGCATCCAGCAGATCCCAAACCCCCCAACCAATTATTGTGCCCCAAATTCCTCTGTAGTAAACCTCCACTCTCCCCGCACAGCGACTGCCTCCATTCACCAGTCTCAGCTCCACATGCTCTGTAACATAACAAATAATAGTACGATGTGGCAGTGTTTGAGCCTCCACTCTCCCCACTCACTGTCTGTAACAAAGGCTACAGACAGGTATTGACAGACAATGGCTGTCATCTCCAGGGGAGAGGGCGGTGTCTCAGGGTGTGATGAAGTGATGAAGCCTGATGCTGCGCTGAGGGGAGTGGCCGGCATGGTGAGAGAGGAAGGTCTTCTGTTGTGATCTGAAGATGGGCAAGGAGGGGGCAAGGTGGGGGGAACTTGAGGGAGTGAGTTCTAGATTCTCATTGCACAGTGGTTGGAGGAACGACTGCCCTTGTTGAGGAAGGGGGAAGGACAAACTGTGGGCCAGAGTTGGCTAAGGGAAGAGGGTGCTTAGAGGAGTGTGGAACAAGCAGTTCAGAGAGGTAGGGTGGAGCCAGACCATGAAATCAGTTGTACATATATGTGAGTCGGTTTCATCGGTTATGGGATAGGGACTCACTGGAGCCTTGCATGGACTGGTGTGATGGGGGTGTGGCACTCAGTATGTGGGATAGAGAGCCATTGGAGCCTTGTGAGGACAGAGGTGTTTGGGAGGGAGATTAGTGTGTGTGATAAGGAGCCGGTGGAGCCTGGCGAGGACTGGCGTGATGAGGTATGGAGTTTAGTGTGTCTTAGAGGGAGTCAGTGGAGCCTGGGAAGGACGGAGTTGATTGTGGATGGAGTATAATGTGTGTGAGAGTGAGGCAGTGGTGCCTGGTGAGGACTGGGCTGATGGTGGTATGGAGTTTAGTGTGTGTGATAGGGAGACAGTGGGGCCAGGTGAGGATGGCGTGTTGGGGGTACGGCGTTTAGTGTGTGTGGCAGGACGTCAGTGGAGCCTGGCGAGGGCTGGGGTGATGGGGGACAAAGTTTAATGAGGGTGAGGATATAAATGGTGGAGTTTGGAATCAATTGGATTTGATGAATGTGGAGCTGCGGAGCCCAGAAAAGCCGTTCAATGAGGCCACTTAATGTCTCAATCGAATGTCGGCACAGCCCCTCCCCTCCCCCAGACCTACACTGGACAGTAAAGCCCCCCCTCCCCTCCCTCAGACCTACACTGGACAGTCAGCCCCCCCTCCCCTCCCCCAGCCCTGCACTGGACAGTCAGCCCCCACTCCCCTCCCCCAGCCCCGCACTGGACAGTCAGCCCCCCCTCCCCTCCCCCAGCCCCGCATTGGACAGTCAGCCCCCCTCCCCTCCCCCAGCCCTGCACTGGACAGTCAGCCCCCCTCCCCTCCCCCAGCCCTGCACTGGACAGTCAGCCCCCCCTCCCCTCCCCCAGCCCTGCACTGGACAGTCAGCCCCCCCTCCCCTCCCCCAGCCCTGCACTGGACTGTCAGCCCCCCCTCCCCTCCCCCAGCCCTGCACTGGACAGTCAGACCCCCCTCCCCTCCCCCAGCCCTGCACTGGACAGTCAGCCCCCCCTCCCCTCCCCCAGCCCCGCACTGGACAGTCAGCCCCCCCTCCCCTCCCCCAGCCCTGCACTGGACAGTCAGCCCCCCCTCCCCCAGCCCTGCACTGGACAGTCAGCCCCCCCTCCCCTCCCCCAGCCCTGCACTGGACTGTCAGCTGAGAGAGATAGAGTCATTGCAGAGAAGAGCCACGAGGCTGATGCCCTGTGTGAGAGCAATGAGCTATGAGTTGGGCCAATAGAAAAGTGCGGTGGAATGTTTCCGCGGTGTCGGCAATAACCAACGCCTGAGCTATAAAACCACTAAATAATGGGGTTTCTGGCCCTGCGCTGCTCACGGCTGTTTACCCGACGATAATGTGGGCGGAGCAGCTCCGGCTGTGCATGTGGGGTGCAGCGTAAGCGGGAAATAGCCTTCGATTCACTCGGAGGCCGCACTGTTGAGATTGTCCGTGTGTCTGTTCTCTGTGTGTGTCTGTGTGTGTGTCTGTGTGTCTG